CTCCCGAGGTGGCTGTCCCCTTCCCTGGAAGCAAAGTCACCTCGGACAGAGGCATCGGCGCTCTCGCAAGCAGCTTCTGAGCCTCTCGCGAACGCCATGGGTACGTCCCGGCTCCGAGAGCTGCTGTGGGATGTAGCCGAGGGGTGACGGAAGCTTCTCCCACTGAGTCATTGTGTTTGCAGAGCCGTGCGCTGCCATGCACACACGCACCGAGCCCCTGGGTACCCACGGGTTATTCTTTGCTCTTCCTCTGTTGGTAAAAGTGAGATCTCATTTCTGAATTAAATCAATTTGGCATCAGTTAATGGCTTATTACAGCCAGTAATTCATCATGTAGGATTTAAGTGACATTTATCCAATTCACACCTGAAGTCTTCTGTCAACCAGAGGGTTTAATGGAAATGGTTTTGTATTCCCATCTCCGCTCCCTTGCAGAAGGAGGAATTAATCCTACACATTTTGGTTCAAAGTGAGAATGACATACAAGGAAAAATGTTGAAAGCACAGCCTAACTATTCCGCCAGTCAGGACACATCCACTTCTCCCCCCAGTGAAGATCGGGCCAAATCTGCCCCCCTTCTCCCCTGTCACACTGGCGGGTGCTTTCCAGCCGGCTGAGCAATGACCTTTGCTATTGAGTGTGTCTCATTTGTCACTAGGCATTGTGCATTAAACTGAAGAGTCTTCTCTGCTGTGCTGACAGCAAGCAACTATATCTTGGATGCTAATCTCAGACTCATTGCTATTTTAATCTCATTATTGGGTAGACTCTCTTTGATAGCAGGTCGCGTGTGATGGCTGTGTCAGCCACTCTGTGGAGTCCCAGAGGGCAGCGGAGCAGAGGGTACTGCATATTCATTCATGTGCCCCTCTTCCACTTCAATACCGTGACTTGCTGGGCTGCTCTGTCCCTGGAGGATGCTGGTGCTGCACCCTCCCTGCCTGTGCGCTGACACCGAGAGTGGTGTGTCTCTCTGTGCTGGTCAGGGTAGGCACAGGAGAAAGGGTGGCACGGCTGTGGCTGAAGGCAAGAGACACACAGTTACTTGAAGGTTTTGCAAGGTGTCCAGCATTCAGCAGAACCAGGGTGCTGGAGCTTAGCAGTGATTTAGTGACAAGTACAGAACTGCCAGCTTACTCACAAGTCTGGGCTGCAGGAGAGGGTATTTCCTGGGTTGAAGAGAAGTGTTATTACTTTTGCCTCGGGGAGGAAAAGAGAAAGGAGCATATAAGATTACCTGTCTGCTTTTGGGGACCCTAGAAAGCTGGGAGAGATCCCTTTGAAATGGGAAAGTCTCTTGGCAGATTGTATATGAAGCTTCCCAGCATTTGCCTCCAGAAGCAGAAAAACAGATGGAAAGAGACCCAGCAGGGAAGTGAAATCTCATTTATCCGCACAATGCCATCCTCCTGGCTCCAGCCAGCTCTCTGCATGTCAGTGAGAGCCTACCCTGTCCATTCTGCTCCAGGCCTTCCCAAGCCCATCCATCACCCTATGGCTTCTTATTTACTGGGAGCCTGGCACAGGAAGCTGGGTTTATTGTCTGCCACACATGCACATACATATGATGCCCATGTACATGCACATACGCTTCATCTATTGCTGCAGCTTGAGATTGTCTGGAGTCCAGGAAATCTTTACACACTCCTGCCAAAGTCTGAGCTTATCAGAGCCGAAGAGAAATCTGTCCCAGAGTGCATGCTTGGGTCTAGCTTGGTTCAGCCCTTGAGCGTACAAACTGCAACATTTGTGGTCTGGGGTGATAAAGGATCTTGATAGTCTCTATTGCTCGGTTCAAGAGTTGTTTTTGTCTTGGCTGTGACATAAAGAAGAAATGTAAAAAGTTAAAGCTAGGACTGTCATGTTTTAAGTCAGATATGTGAATGAATGTAGATGATAAAATGTCAAACACGAAACAAATACAGCAGGGTCAGTTTCAGAGCCCATTTTTCCACTGAGTGACAACTGTATTTATAGGGGGAAAAATGCCTGAGTTTTCTGTGCACTTACTCAGTCTGTTTCTGCCTTGCAGGATTACAAGCAGAGAGCAGAGTAATAGTATCAATGAGTTCAGAGAAAAAGACTGTCCACAGGGAAAGTTGCAAAAGATGCAGAAAAACCACCGGATTTCCCTTACAGGATTATGACCCAAAATGGATCAGAAACAGTGGCTGAGAGACAGCACTGCAACTCACTCATCAGCCCTGAGCCGGCACCCTGGGTAGCTCTAAGGCCTTATCTTTGCTTTACACATTTTTCTTGTTAGTAGGCAGATTTGCTACCTCAAGAGGCAGGTGGCTCATAATCCTGAGGATATATAAAGGAAGCGAAAGGGATTGGGTAGAGTAAGGAGGGTGTAGGTCTGGTGGTGTGAAGAACTACAGGGGTAGCTTAGCTAGGTAAGTACTTCAGCTATTATTTATGGCTTCTGTAGGGTAAGAGAAATGAAGGAGGCAGGAAGAGGTTTCTGAAGTTAAAGATAGATCATGGCATGGAGAACAGTGGTTAAGAGAAGGTTGGGCTTTCAGTGCCTCTAACACAGTAGGGTAGCATTAACCTGAGGTACCAAAACTTGTCCATGTACTGTTTTGGTTTGGCAAACAGCTTGGATCTCCCCTGACAACAGTGCAGTACAGATATTTATCCACATTATGAATGCAGGATTCCCAGTGACACAGTGACCCAGTGTGCTAGCCTGCCCTCTCAGCCAGTGCAGAGACGAGCTCTAGCTGCACTTTCATCCTGTGTCACGCCAACAAGACAGCTGGGCAGCTTAAATAAATGCCCTCTGCACTTTGAAGCAGACTTTAACTGCCCTGCAGCATTTAGC